TATTTTTAATACCTACTTTAATTTTTAATTCCTACTTTACAATATTATATTTGTGCATATGCATTATGTTATTCAGTACTGAAGCTAAATCTGGAGCTGATCTAACAAAACAACTTAAGATATCAGTATTAACACATAGATTTGATATCAATTTTTATATGAATTTCAGAACCAGAATTCTAAGTTCTGCTACCAGCAGAAATGGACCAATCACGATTCAGTAAGCCATTTTATAATTGCCATTATTGCTGTTGCTACAATTCAAAACATGAACTTTCCATTAATACAGATATATAAACTGCCCATAACAAATAGACAAACATAATTTAATAATTGTATATTTAGATGAATGACTTCTGTAAAATATTGTTCATAACAGTTCATTGGTGGATGTTCTGTTATTTACATGTAAAGGGATTAAAACAAAAATAAATGTAGATTTTTATCCATATATGGTTACATTAATTAATGTATTGGCGACACGGTGGCTCAGTGTGTCGCCTCACAGCAAGAAGGTGGCTGGTTCAAGTCCCAGCTGAGCCAGTTGGCGTTTCTGTGTAGAGTTTGCATGTTTTCCCCGTGTTGGCGTGGGTTTCCTCTGGGTGCTCCGGTTTCCCCCCATTCCAAAAACATGTGCTATAGGTGCATTGGGTAGGCTAAATTGTCCATATTATATGTGTGTGAATAAGTATGTGGGGATGTTTTCCAGTATTGGGCTACAACTGGAAGGGCATCAGCTGTGTAAAACATATGCCGGATAAGTTGGTGGTTTACTTCGCTGTGGTGACCCCTGATAAATAATGGGACTAAGCTGAAAAGAAACACAGCGGAATGAACCTCCAACTTATCCAGCAAGTTTTTACGCAGCGGATGCCCTTCCAGCCGCAACCCATCTCTGGGAAACATTCACACACACATTCACACTCATACACTACGGACAATTTAGCCTACCCAATTCACCTGTACCGCATGTCTTTGGACTGTGGGGAAAACCGGAGCACCCGGAGGAAACCCACACGAACGCAGGAAGAACATGCAAACGCCAACTGAGCCTAGGCTCAAACCAGCAACCCAGCAACCTTCTTGCTGAGAGGCGACAGCACTACCTACTGCGCCACTGCTTCGCCCCTTGTGTAAAACATATACTGGATAATTTGGCGGTTCATTCCGCTGTGGTTGACCCCTGATAAATGAAGGGACTGAATGAATGAATGAATGAATTTGAAAAAGCAGCAATTTTTTTTTTCTAAATGTGAGTTTTTTATTCCCTTTCGGACATGTGTGAGTTACAATTGTATTTTATTGTGTTGTATTATTTTTCCTTTGTTTATTACTTGTAGTTATTTATTTATTTTTATTTTTTACATGTTCGAAATAAAGTCTAAAGTCTAAACAAAAGTGTTGAAAACAACAATAATAAAAAAATAAATTTAACCCCTGTATTTTTGAGGTAGTTTTTTCTTCTCAAATGCAGCCATTCACCTGAATCCGAAAACCGATTAAATTCCTCCTGCCTCCCCCCGCAAAGTCAAACACACGTGCAAATCACATTCACACTTTTGAAAATCCTCCCAGTAATGGGTTCAGGTTAGTGACCTCGCTGGTAAACACATATTCAAATTGTGTGGCGAGTGTTAAATTATTGACATCTCAATGAATATGCAGATGCAGTGAGGATGTGCGACCTGAACACTTTCCATTTCCAGTCTGAACAGCCTCTGATAAAAAGCGCTTTGAGTTTTGTTGTGATGCTCGGTGTGCGTTTAGCGGTATTATGTTGTCTGCTTTTAATTTGCTTTGAAGCGATTGTGTTGCTCTTGTTCCCCTGATAGACATTGTTAGAGAAGCAGTGTTCAGAGTCCCTGGTGGAGGAACTGAGGTTTTCTTCTGTTCATGTTTCATTCATTTGCGTCGTTGTTCATTGGATCTGTTGGGAATGAGGATGTTCTGGATAAACGCGCTGCTACTTATTCAAGAGACTCTTATTCTGCCTCTCGGATTTTGTACACACAGGACATATTACAGTTCTTGTAAAGCATTCTAATGTTCAATTAGTGTAGTCTAAACCTTTTAATGCAGTATTCAGATTTTATATATCATTTATATCAAGAATAGCAGGAAATTGTCAGTTATAAAACTTATATTTCTAGTATAGTATCAGAGTATTCTGTCAGATGATTCCCATCCTATGCACCTTGAGTTTTATCTTCTCCCTTCTGGTATTTGATGCAGAACACCTAATACAAATCGGTTTAAACTTTCATTCATTCCATCAGCTGAGAAGTTTTTAAATTTAGGGTAAAATTTGTATTGTATAATGTGCTTTTGTATATAAATTGCCTTCGGGAAATGAATAAAGACTTACTGACTGAGTATATTCTTATTTATTGCGGTGGCATGTTGGCTTAGTGGTTAGCACTGTCGCCTCTTAGCAAAAAGGCCTCTGGTTCGATTCCCGACTGAATCTGTTAGCATTTCTGTGTGGAGTTTGCATGTTCTCCTCGTGTTGGTGTGGGTTTCCTCCGGGTGCTCCAGTTCCCCCCACAGTCCAAACACATGTGCTATAGATAAATTGAATAGGCTAAATTGGTTGTAGTGTGTGAAAGAGTGTGTAGGTGTTTCCCAGTATTGGGTTGCAGCTGGAAGGGGATTCGCTGTGTATAACATATGCTGGGTAAGTTGGCGGTTCATTCCACTGTGGCGACCTCTGATGAATAAAGAGACTTAGCTGAGGGAAAATGAATAAATAAATGAATGATATAGCACACTGTAAAAAAATAAATCGATTTGAGTTGGGACGACATGAAGGATTTAAGTTTTTACAAATTTAAGTGGACTGAACATAAAACGATGAACTTGTTCTTCCCTTAAAAAAAGAATTGTTTTGTTTCAGCTTATTTTAAATAATTTGAGCAAAGAGGAAACATATTTTTTTCCAGTGCATATAAGATATAAAAATAACAGTTATTTATTAATCTGAAAATAACTTGAGGATGTTTTTATTTAGAAAGCAAACTAATAAGGTCTGTTTTTTAGGAACTTTTATATTACAGTTAGGAAAATATAAATTCCAAAATTTTGCAAATTTAGCACAAAAATAAATAAATAAATAAATAAATTAACAGGTGAATAAATAAATAAATAGATAAATAGATAGATAAATAAATAAATAAATAAATAAATAAATAAACAAACAAGCAAACAAACTAACTAACTAACTAACTAACTAACTAACTAACTAACTAACTAATGAACCAACGAACGAACGAATTAATGAATGAACTAACGAACTAACGTACAAACTAACAAACGAACAAATAAATTAATCAATAAATTAATAAATTATTAATTATTAATTGAATATATATTAATTAATTAATTAATAAATACATAAATAAACAGTTTTAATCTATAAATTTCTAAAGACATTTTTTTGCTGAAATTGACAAAAATGTACCAGTGCGTTAACATCAACATTAACAATGATTTTCCATCATGACAAACAAACAAACAAACAAAAATATTCTGACCAGTTATAAATTTCTGAAAAAATAATAAAAAATACTAAAAACACACCTGATAAATCCAACAAATACTGAACAATTTTCAAGTGGTCTCCTGATTTGTATTATTCCATTGCTGTGTAGTGTGTGTATACCATATGAAAACAATGTTAACACATTAAATATATACCCTAGCATTAAGATATCACATCTGCTCTCAATATTTGGTAAAAAAAAAGACAAAAACACAATAACTTTTATTATATTTATGCAATTAGAAAAAAAACAAATTTTTAATTAAATCAAAAACTTAAAATTCATCCTATGTCAATGGTATTTTTCTGGATTATGGCTAACGTTAATCAAAATGTACCACTATTTAGTATTGGCAGGTTTATAAATTAATACTTATAAAAAACTCAACTTGGTAACTAATGCTGATGAATTAAAACTTAATGTACAGTTATATTCAGTTTTTTAACTTATACATAAACAAAGAGCTTTAAAACAATAATTTATACAAGTTATTTAGCTAAATGCAAATCATTTATGCCAGAAATCAGGAACTTACAAAGCAACATATTTTAACAGCATATATTTTTTGGAAACACTTTATTTAGATGGTCCGTTTGTTGAATTTAAGTTACATTGCATCTACATGCCAACTTATTCTCATTATGGGGTTAGGGTTAGATTTAGTGAAAGTTGACATATACTTGCAAAGTTTCTTATGGTCAGTTTATTAAAATCCAAAATTATGTTCTAGTTAAAACATTGTGAGTTACGAAGAACTGAATGCTATTATAGTAATTTTTAGCATTCCCATGAATGAAATATTATAAACAAACAAACAAACAAACAAACAAACAAACAAACAAACAAACAAACACAGCAACTAATGCAGATTAATTAATCCTCATTATATTGTTGCTAATTTTAACCTGTTAATGCTATTTTAAAAATAATATGTGAAATTTACAACGAGAAAATATAATAATTTAATAACTTTGTACTTTGTCAGTATTTATTAATACAGGTTACAGATATAATACAGTTTAAACAAATGTACAGCTAGTAAAGTAGTAATATAAATAACAAATTATGAATACATGCCACATATCCATATCTATATCAATACAGAAAGACTGAATAATACAGTTACATAACCGCACCTGACCAGCCTCGCAGAACTCTGAACACACACCTGACCACGAAAAAACTACTTCAAGGCACTTTTGAATCAATTCACACACACACGCACAGGTCATAATGCCACGAAAGACCACTTGAGTTGGAAAGTAAGTTCCTGGAGTGAGTAGACTCACCCACTACTCTCTCACTCTCTCTCTCTCTCTCTCTCTCTCTCTCTCTCTCTCTCTCTCTCTCTGTCGCGCGCGCCTCCACACGCACACGCGTTCATACAGTCGCGCGCACAGACACACAACACCATCATCAGCCCTCGCTGCAAAAAGCCACAGAACAGATGACCGCACTTACTGTGAATTAGGCGTCCCGTGAAGAAGTTCTTTCGGTGAATTGAACCCGTCCCCCGCCCTACTCCCCTCCCTCCTCCTTCACTCCCTCCACTGCATTTCTCCTCTCCATCCCAGGCGCGCGTTTATACACTCCATAAGCCGGCGGGAGCGGCGCTGTTTCTGGAGCACGAGTCCCGGTTTTCCGTGCACCGCTTTTTGGACTCGTGTTAAAAAAAAATCCCGCGCCTCTCTCGCGCGCACATGGATGCTTGCTGGCCGTGTTGCTCTGCATCTGGTTGCCAAAGCAAAGCACAATCAATATGGAAGGGGAGCGCTATTTTATGATTGGAGAAGTTGTTGTGTTTTTTGGTGGTGAAATTCATTATTTAGTATCTGAACCTTCAGCTATTCAGTATCATTTATTCATAAAGTCCCTTTTTGCCAGAAGGAAATGGATACAGCTGGAGAGATGGGGAGAGGGGAGAGAGAGAGAGAGAGAGAGTGAGAGAGAAAAAGAGAGAAAAACCTTGGGGAAGAAAACTAGCATGGAAGTTGGGATTGATGATATTGATCAAGCACCGTCCTGAAATGAATGGATGGTGGTTTATTATTTTTTTTAGTCTATTTGATGGATGGATTGACTGATTCGCATGTCTTGAAGGAGGGAAGGCCTTGAACATCAGAGGCGTAGCGTGCTGAGCAGCATGTGCAGATTTTGATGTCGATGCTTCAGATTCTCAGGCTCCGATAGTAGTACTCTCAAAAGACTGAGGGGAGAATTTGGTGAGAATAAAAGCACCCGCTGACAACGCTCTTCATTTGGACTTGCCGTCTGTGAAGTTTTAGTCTTCACTAAAACATTAAGCAACAGCACACAAATACATACAATCGTAACAATTTGCATAGAGCACTTCCACATCCTTCAAGGATGTTTCCTGGATACCAAACTCAATCAATAGTATCTGGATCCAGCCTTTAGGATGCAAGCTGAGACTGCATCACTCAGCGATGCAATGTCAGACACAATGCACTCAAATGGAGCTAGTGACGTCACTGTGACGGGTAGGGTAAGGGGTGGGGTTAGGTAAGCCCATTAAAAAGCATTGGATGCAGCCCAGATTGCACTGCACCAGGTCTGCAGCCAGACCCCTTTCAACTCAATAGGTGCATCCCAAATTGCATGCTTACTATTCTATGCCATTTTGTAGTAAAGATAGTGTGGCTGTTTCTCAATATGCGTTCTTTGGCGATCTCGCGTCCTCATGTTCTTGTGTAATGTCATCAGCACTGCCAAAGTTCAGTTGCAAACCTCAAAACTCAAGCTTCACTTCAGAATCTTGCTGGAAGTAGTTGGTCATCCGGGTACTTCTAGCATACCGTTTTTCAAATTTTATGAATAACGGCATACTACTCTCCTCGCATACTGATTTTAGCGTACTATATAGAATGGAAGCTGGGGCAGAGTGGGATAGCATTTTAAACCGGGAAAAGTTATAGAAGGTCAGGCCAAAGTGAATGGTGGGGGTGATGTTTATGAGTGCCGGCGGGAGAATCGTGATGTTTATGAAAAGTGGCGTGAGGAGTGCGGTGTTATGAAAAGTGAAAAAAGTCCGCCCCTGTATGGAAGCATGCGATTTCGGACGCAACCGCCTACTACTCAGTAGGTACCCCATTTGAAATTAAACGTACTACACAGCTGTTAGAAAGTACGTCCTATGCAGTATGAACGTGAAAAGTTTGAATGGAATTCGGACGTACTATATCCGCCATTTTGTCATGGTCACGTGACCTAGCTGCGCAAGTTGCGCCGCTTTACTCCCATTCATGAATTCGCTCACGGGGCATCATGGGATAGCGCAGCGTGCATGGGATGCACACTTCAGAATCTCGCGGGAAGTAGTAAGTCATCTGGGTACTTCTCGCATACTAATTTTCAAATTCTATAAATTCGGACATACTACTCGGCTCACATATTGATTTTAGCGTACTATATAGTATGGAAGTATGCGGTTTCGGATGCAGCCTTTGTCGTATTTTCCTCAGCTAAAGGAATAGTTGACGTCTTTCCTTCTGCAATGTATACGTGGAGTTTATTCACAAAGGCGCCCTCCAGCATCCAGTATGAATTAAACATATATATAAATACGTGTGCTAACAAAAAATGTAAAGAAATAAATTATATATATATATATATATATATATATATATATATATATATATATATATATATATATATATATATATATGGCAATACGAGTAGCAGTGCGATATGGCTGTATATCGGCACTGGTGGGAGGCGTGCGTTGGCACGAGGCCACAGGCTGAGTGCCTTAAGCAGGTCCCACACCAGAAGCGCCGCTTCTAAATCTAAAGTCTTAGATTTGAGACTTTAATTCACAAATCTAAAATCTGTATAATTACTTAACTATGTCCTTTGACAAATGTAAACTCACAGTCATAAACATTCCAAACAATCCAGTGTTTAACTGTTAAAATCCAGATAAATCCAGAAAAAGTCAAGATTAAAATCTCACTCAACCCTAGAAAACAAACGCCAACACATCTTTATTTACAGCAACATTACGCTCAATCCAATTCAGCACGGCCACTTCTCAACCATTCACTCGCATGCGGAAAAAAATAAAGTAATCTGAAATATCCGGGCGCTGTTGAATTATTTAGATTCGACTTACTGCGACACCAGCGGCGCAGATTGGTAGAATCAATCTACGTCAGCCGGAGAGGAATGAGTTTCACCTGTAGCTATCGCGTGGCCTTTGGCTCCCAGGCTCCCATTGACTTCCTCAGACTTCCTCTGCTCGACAGGACATTATTCTTCTGTTCAAAAGTCATTTATTTCCCATCTCTGGACGCCATCATGGCTCACTTGCCAGAGGAAGCGCATTAGCAGTCGCATGACACTCATATGCAGCGTAGGACGTAAAATCACGATGAGGTCTTGGAACACGTAGACATGAATGATCAAATCATACTTTTAAAAAAAAATCTCTTTCAGTTTTATGAAGATAAATATTTCTATTGACAAGCCTTTCACGTATATCTTGAATGCTCGCTGGCAATTTTCTCAAGAGAACTGGATGATTGTGAACATGGAGCAGATGCTAAATGTATTGATTTCTGTGGTCTATACAGTAACGTTCAGGCCCTCGGAGACGATGACCATTGTAAATGCCTGTCAATTTGAACTCTTCACGTCCTCCAGAGGAAAATATCAATAACTTAAGAGGAAAATAGGGCTGAAAGATATTGTAGACTAGCAAATTATACTATGAAGTCAAATATTGGGCAGAAATAAAGCAATATGCCATAAGAGAGCATGCGTAACTATGATTGATCTCTTCAACTGCTGTTGTGGATAAACTACATTGATCGTATACTGTAAGAAAAGTGTGTACTTCATAAAATAAAAACTGTGGATACCATCTCCATATCATAATTGGCTTCTACACTCTGTTTCCTCTCCACCAATAAGGTGGTGCGCTGATCAAAAACGCTATATAAATGTAAGGAATAATAATAATAATAAAAATAATTTTCCCGGTGTTGGGTTGTAGCTGGAAGGGCATCCGCTGCGTAAAACATTTGCTGGATAAGCTTGCGGTTCATTCCGCTGTGGCGACCTCTGATTAATAAAGGGACTAAGCCAAAAAGAAAATGAATGAATGAATAATAATAATAATAATAATAATAATAATAATATTAATAATAGTAATTGCATAATAAATGCATTAATGTAGTTAATGGTAATAACAATAATAGTGAATTATTAATTTTATATAATCGTGTTGGTATGACACATTGTTAATAATTTATTTGTTTTGTAAAAAGTGAAAAACAATATTTATAGATTAGATCATATTAATATTAATTAAATATTTAAATGAAAAAAAAATACTTTTGGAAAATAAATCTGGAAAAATCAAATACTAAAATTACTATTATATATAAACATATATTTAATAATAATAATAATAATAATAATAATAATATAATTTCCCAGTGATGGGTTGCAGCTGGCTAAGCTGGTGGTTCATTCCGCTTTGCCGTCTCCAAATTAATAAAGGGACTAAGCTGAAAAGAAAATGAATGAATGAATAATAATAATAATAATAGTAATAATAACTATTGTAATAATAATAATGATGATAATAATAATAATAATAATAAAAATAATAATAATAATAAGAAGAATGGTAACAACAATAATAATACTTCTAACAATAATAGTAATAATAATACTTCTAATAGTAATAATATTGATGATAATAATAATAATAATAATAATAATTATTATTATTATTACTATAAATAATTAATAAAACTAATTATAATAATAATAAATATAACAATAATAATAATTTATATAATAATAATAATAATAATAATAATAATAATAATTATTATTATTTTTAATATTATAAAATAATAATAATAATAATTATTATTATATAAAATTATAATTATATAAGTTATTATTAAAAATAATTATGACATTTTGCTGATGATGATACTCAGGACTTGTAGACTTAATTGATTTGAGTAGATTTAATAAACATTCATTCATTCAATTTATTTTCGGCTTAGTCCCATTATTAATCAGGGGTTGCCACAGTGGACTAAACCACCAACTTATCCAACACGTTTTACACAGCGGATGCCCTTCCGGCCGTAAACTGACACTGGGAAACACCCACACACACTTGCACACACATGCACTACGGCCAATTTAGCTTACCCAATTTACCTGTACCGCATGTGTTTGGACTGTGGGGGAAAACAGAGCACTCAAAAGATTTAAACTGATATTGTAATTGTTACATATTATAGTTTATAGCATATATCTAGGCAGTGCAGTAGCTTTGAATCTAGTTCAGAATATAAAAAAGGAAACAGACGTCTCTCATATAAGAAGGGGCTGAAGTAGGGCACAGAACAAACATTTTAATATTTCATTAACTGCAAAAAACACGCTGCACACACACACACACACACACACGCACACACACACACACACACACACACACACACACACACACACACACACACACACACACACACACACACACACACACACACACACACACACACACACAGGTGCTGGAAGTTTCTAGGAGTGAGTGTGTCTCCTTTTGTCCGGCTGATCTCTCAATGTGTGTGTGTGAATATGAAATGAGGAGGTGCCACATGAAATTTCCCCATGTGTGTTTTACACTGACATCCTTCCCTTCGCACTCTGAACTGAGAGCCATAAAACACATGGAGAGGCGACAGCAGCTCCTCTTCCTCTCCGTTCTAATACCCCTGATTGAAGAATGAACACCGGGAAATAAGCAGGACACTCCGACTAGATCAGAATGTCTGTTTTCATACCATCTCCTGAACTCTCTGCCAAACTGTATTACAGCATGTGTGTGTGTGTGTGTGTGTGTGTGTGTGTGTGTGTGTGTGTGTGTG